GTGCAGGCAGGCAGGTATGACCAGCGGGTGGCAGGTACGTTATGACAGCGGGCGGCAGCATCGGTACCTGATTCAGGATGCTCCAGAAGAGCCCAGATTGACCCAACACGCCCAGTCTGGAGGCCCAAAAGACGTGACGCGCATGGGCAGCCAGCAACAGCAGTGTGGGTGGCCCCTGGCCTTCAGAGGGGACCCCTGTTCCATCGACCCATGCACAGACGTTTTGACCAGGCACCCTCTTCCTCATCAGTTCCAACCTGCAGATGCTTGTATCCCAGCAATGAGGTTGGTAATGAGCTTACAAGATACTTATGGAGCAGCCTTACAGGTACCGAGAACCAGACAACAAGTACAGCTCGCCGGCAGAACGAGGCAAACGGCGCATCCTCGGGTCCCCGGCACTTTACCACCATGTTTCTCCGGGTCTGGGGTACTTCGCACCACCCGATGTACTTGGCCCTCAACCAGCCCTTGTCCCTCTTGCGACAGGGATAGTGGCTCTTTCTTTGACGACACTCCTGGCCTTCTCCTGGCGCATTGGCAAGGTTCAAGGAAGCTGACCTGAGATTGATCCCTCTCCCACTTCCCGCATCCCTTCCATACACGGATCTCGTTCCATCACCATCCCCCAATTCCCCCCCCAGTTGGCATTGGCAGGTCAGGCCAACCCAGCAAGAGCGCCGCATGGCACCTGGAGAGAGCCCTATCAACTTCAGCTGATGCGTCAACGCAGCACGCATTTGGCAACATTCAGGCCATTTTAGGTTCCATCCTACTGGGCATGAGTACCTGAGGTCGGCCATGCCATGCGGGCCAGCCTGGCAGGGCATTCCAGTTCAGGCACCAGCCGGGGATCGCTACTGTCGACAGGACCAGCTCGCCTGGCCTCCCTCTTCCTCCTAACCTTAATTGGAGCGGTGTCGTCAACACCACGCCATCTATGCAAGGAGACGATGGCTCACTTCGTCTTTCGCTTCACCATCTCAGGCCCTTCCCTGGTCGATCGCCGTTTCTTTGCCTGGTCTTACAAGGAAGCACCCGCTGGGCAGCTCTCGGTCAGTTGGCTGGCGGCGCTTCCTCTTGTTCCCTACCCCAGGTTTTCTTCTCTCTGCAACCCTACCTACCCATTTATTGGGAGACCGTCCGTTGCCGGTCTGCTATCCGGTCGCTTTTTAATGCCTTCAGCTTATAGAATATGGCCTTCTGCGTGCTTTTTTGCTCCTCGCGCTCCTTTCCCTCTGAGCGATTCCAAATATCATGTTCTACATACTTCAGCTCAGTCACGCATTGCCGCATCTTCCACCAATACAGCGGCCATCTCGTTGAGCCACAAGTCTCAGATGGACCGGCTCTTTTTCTATGGGTCAAGACTCGACCTACTTAGAACCCCCTGTTTGTCGTCAATCTGCTGCGCCGCCGCAGCCGCTGTAGTCGAAACCCCAGCCACGATGGCATTGATCGATGCTACTCCTTGCTCCTAAGGGGTTCTCATTGACACAGCCCAACATTCTTTATTCCCTTTGGAGCCGTTCTCTGGCGCCCCTTCCCAGCTGCGTTCATCGTTGCAGATTGCTGATCTGCAACAGAAGGTTGATGAGCGAGCGTCATGGGCCGGACGCTAATGTCGAGAAACTCGATCACCCCAGCAGTGGTGAGTGTCCTGTACCTGGACAAGGGCCGAGGATCCAACGCAAGCAAGGTGATCTGCTGGAGACCGACAGAGCCGGGGGTGTGTCTCAGGATGCTGCTAAACAAGCCCCCATCCAGCCATTTGGGAGCGCCCACCGACATCCTATCCCATCTTGAACACGCTTGGTTTTTCCCTTTCGGCTTCGCGTTCTAATTTCTCCAGCTCTTCTGGCTCCGTGCTGGTTCGTTTTTATCCGCGCCATTGCTCATCAAAAGTTATCCCCTCAAATTCCCCAGCGTCGTCATCCTGACAGGCTCACAAATGAGTAACATTGCCTAGTTGCGCCGGCCATTAAGCTAGAACTAGCTGTGCTTAGCTGTAACAGCGAACCATGAACCATTAACCACTTAGCCGTATGGCCCAGATTCGTCAGCGGAGACGTCTCTACCTACGCTCCAACACACTCCATCCTACCCACCTCCGAACAGTGCACACATCGACTCATCTGACCCGACTCAGCAGTCGAAAAGGGGGCCGGGGGCGCAAGGCCGTACCTGAGCAGTTCCGTATTCAAGACACTGGATCAATATAGCCGGCAATCTGCGGCAGAGCCTTCATAGCAGGAGGGGGGGTGGGCAGGGCGCCCTCTCTAGGCTGTTGACGACACACGAGTGAAGCGGAGCGGACTCGGACCCAGGCACGAACTTGCCGAACAGGGTATTTTCGCTCTAGCTCCAAGCAAGACACCGATTCCCGCAAGGAAACAAAGGAACGAAGAGGCCCATGGAAAGAAAATTCGGAGCGTGCTGTAGGTAGTCATCGCCCACGGCCCTCTGTACTGGAATCCTCCCACTCCCCCCCTCTTCACCACACCCCTCTCTGTCGCAGTCGTTGTGTTCAGCTTCCTTCGACTCCCTTGAGCTCTCTTCCTCATTCCTTCGACGTGGGTGCCGAAAAGCCCGGAACCCTCCCCGAAGGTTAGATAGTACGGATGAAGCGAAACCACTCCTCGTCCTGCCACATTTACTAAAGCCACCCGGGGTCCCTGTTCATCCTTCCCAGAACAGTGGGCGAGACAATCGCTCATCGCCCCTGGGAAACGTCTTCTTTCTTCTTCTCCCCCTCGAGCATACCGCACATGCGCACTTGGGACCGATACCTGACTCTTCAAGCTCGCAAGCTCGCAAGCTAGTCCCGATTCCGGGGCCTGCCTCTTGGCTACCTTGGATGCATGACAATAAGCCTTCTTTCGATCTGCGTCTAGCACGGGATACATCCGTTGATGGCTGCCCTGCCCTGGTCTCGGTCTTCATCGTCTATTCATCCACCTCCATTACCGTCGGGCATCTCCCACTTGGAGATCTTTCCCGGCTGCAGCTCCATCCCTTGTCTCCTCTGTTCGCCAGGCCACCCCTTCCTTCGCGCATCCACGCCGATCCATGCATGACCCCCCAAAAACATTAGATCTCGACCTCGACTCGCAGCCCAATTGTTTCTACTATCAACATCGCCTTGGGCCTTTCTGAACGCAGATCTCCCAAGACGAACAATTACCCGACCCATCTGGACGACACCGCCCCGTCGCAGCCTCACAACCTCACTCAATTTGACCTTCCCCCGGACCACCACACGTCTGCCGAAGAGGTGGGCAGGTATTCGAGCGCCACAGAGGCACCAGGTCGTCACTAGCCTGACGGCTGCCCTCACTTGAAAGCCCTTGGTGCCATACTTTTGTGCCCTATTCGTCGAGTGGG